CAGCATCCAAACCTTCTCCAAAATCCCAGAGAGGGCATCCACAGCATCCAAACCTTCTCCAAAATCCCAGAGAGGGCATCCACAGCATCCAAACCTTCTCCAAAATCCCGGGAATCCACCGGTGGCTCCGTCCCCGCAGCCAGTCCCAGCCAGTCGTCTTCAGCGCTCCCAGCAGCTCCACAACTTTGGATTTGGGTGGGTTTTTTTGGGGTGAAATCCCTCTTTTTTTGTTCTTTAAACACAGCCTGGAGGAGCCCCTTCCATCCTTACGCCATCCCCTCGAGGTTTTAGGCTTGGAGGAAACGCCAAAAATCTCAGGTGGAAACCTCGATCCGACAGCAAATCCCTCTTTTTTTTTTTTTTTCTTAATTTTTTTTTCTGTCTGTTGTTTGGATTTTTGGGGTTTTTTTTTTTGGTTTTTTTTTTGCTAATTCCCTCCCTCCCAGGGCAGCTGTTGGGTAGCACACCAAAGTTGACTCGGCCAAATGGAAAATCTCAACGCATGCATCCGGGCTGCATATTGCTACCAGAATGGAATGTTGGGAATGCTCTAAATGCACCTTGGGAATCGGGAAATGACCGAGAAAATCAAGACCTAAAGGGTGATATATATATATATATATTGATATATATATATATATATACGTATTTATATATAAATATCTATATATAAATAAATATATATATATATATATCTCGATGCTATAATTCATAAAAACCTTGTTTAGTAATAAAAAAAATTGCTTTGTTTAAATATGAATATTATAGTCTGCTTCTCATGGTTAGGAAATTAGAGTCTCTCTGAAAAGCAGGTGGCCTCCTCTACTACAACTCCATGTCCTGAGCCTCATCTTCGGAGAAATCGGACATGGAGCTCTCGGATGAGCTGTCCCCGGTGCCTTCTTCCTGTTCTTTTAGTGCTTCTTCTGTTGCATATTTCTGGATGTATTCTGGAGAGGAAAGAGGAGAAAAAAATGTATATATTTAGGGATATTTAGGGTCATGGCGTATTCGATGAATCGGGTAAATGGTTTCTTATAGAAGCGATAATGTGAAATGGAGTTGTGTAAGAGATAATTGCGTTGTTTACATCATGTAAAATAGAATAAAATTGATAAAAATGATCGTGGGATAGGATAAATTACTGTAAGTGATCACAGAAATTAATAGTGATAAATGATGTAAGTATATAAATGATAAATTATCCCATTGCCCAGAGAAGCTGTGGCTGCCTCAGACTCAGGAATGTTCCAGGAGCACCCTCAAGCCTAAGCTGAAACTTGAAGCACTTCAAGCTTCAAAGTTTTATTTTTTGTTGGTTTTTTTTTTTTTGTTTGTTGGTTTTTTGGATTTTTTGGGTTTTTTTTATCCCAGAAAGCTCCTGGGCTGGGTTTTTTTTTGGAAGGTTTGACCCAGGAGAAGTGAAATTTCCAGGGAGTTTCCATGCTGAGCGTCACATTGATTGGGATTTGTATTGGGATTTTCAGCCCATCAAGAAAAACAAACAAACAAACAAACAAAAAAAACCCCCAAAATATCTAAATATTGACAAAGCATCTCCCACAGAAGGGTGTTCAGGAAGGGGAACCCTCATGGCACCAATTCCTGCCTGGATTCATCTGTTCACAGAGCCTGGAGCAGCCCTGGTGTTCCAAGGGATCCTGCTGCAATTCCAGACCCGTGGGGTGGGAAAAGTGATCCCAGAGATGTGCTGAGCTCCCAGCAAAACCTCAGCCTGTTCCTCACCTTCCCAAAGAAAAATTCCCCCAAAAAACCTCCCAGAGAGGAAGCAGAGAAAAGGAGGAATTATAAATTTTGGGGCAACCCCTCCGTGCCTGTGACCCCCTCCCCAAAGCACCAGGAACATTCCCAGGGACGAAAACACCAGGAGCAGCAGCAATAAATCAAATATTGGATTTGCACTCCCGAGTTTCCCCGAGCACAGGAGCTGCCAGGATCCTCTGCAGCAATGTGAACATGTCCAAGGTTATTTTTTGAAATGAGGGGTGGCAGAGTTTTTTAGCTCCAGCCCGTCCCTGTCACGCAATCCTGGGAAGAGCCGCTGGAATTTGGGATTTCTGGAGCACGTTCCAAGCACTTCCAGCTCCTTCCAGAGCATCCTGGAAGGGTGGGAATGAGGGAGCAGGTGATCCCTTTATCCCAAGGGATGTCCTCAGAGCTTCCTTTGGCTGCAGTCAGTTTTTCTGGCTTTTTTCCAATGGTATTTTTGGGTTTTGGGCCATTTCCATGAAAGCCCGGAGGACTCTCAGTGCTGGCACTGGAGATTTTATCTGACAAACCATTTTTCTGCCTGCAAGGTATGAAATTTTTTGCCTTTCTCTGGTATGAAAAAGCAAGGAATGGACTTTGGGATACTGAGCAGGGAAGTTCCCACAATCCTGTCAGAGGAACCAGCCAAAGGAGGCTGAATAAATCACAATTTAAATCAACTTCTGAGACTTCCACCCTCAAAAATTGGGCATTTCACACCACAACGGTGACTCCTGGTTGAAGCACTTCCTGGGTGATGTGGCAGAGCCGATCCCAGGTTTTGGGATACCTGAGCTTTCCCAATTTCCCAACCCAGCAGCACATCACCCCTCCTTCCTTCACATCATCCCATTTAAAACTGGAAGGGGAAAAAAACAGGCAAAAAACTGCAGCAAAGAGCCGCCCCTCCCTGGGGATGGGGTTCTAATTAATGGTGCTCGTTAGGCCTCACCTTTAATTTTCTGTTTGTACTCTTCTGGTCGGTGGAGGTACATGGCTGCAGCGTCACCATTTAGAGGATCTATGGGATTGGGATAAGCCAGCAGCTGGGGCAGGAACGACTCAAATATATTGGTGAGATCTGCAAGGCAAACACAACGTTGGGGTCCACGTCCCCAGAGGCAGAAACACCCCAAAAATCCACCCTGGACACCCAGACAGCAGCACAAAGTCCCAGGAGAAACGCACTGAAAATGAGGTGAAATAAAGGGAGTAAAATCAAAAATGAAAATGAAACTCCTCACTAACTCCTACACAAAAATGCTGATATCCATGGGTGAAGCAAGGAAGGGGATGGAATTTTCCTGATTTTTAATGCTGGCTTGAAAGATTAGGAAAAATCTCCAAACAAACAGTGCTGTGCTTTGCCCTTCCCTGAATTCTTTACCCTTCCAATCTCTATTTAAATGGAAGTTCTCTGTCCGTGGAGCAGGGCTGGAGCTCAGTCTCTGAGGTCCTTCCAACCCCAACCATTCCATGATTCCTGGAAAGCACAGAGCTCTTCCAGAGCTTTCCATGGTTTGGTTAATAGAAACCACCACTAAAAAAAAAATAAACAATTCAGGGAATGTGCAGAGCTCCCAGGAACACCCCAGGAATCTGCCACCAAATAATCCACAGCAGGAAACTGCCAGGAGGGACTGGGGATACACAAACCCCTCTTCCCACATCCCTGAGAGAACATTCCAGAGGCAGGGATGGGCCCGTGGGAATGTTCTAGAAATCTTTTCTCTGTCTCCCCTTCCTTGTGGCAGGGGAATCCTGTGGGTGAGCATCATGGGTGTCCTCCTGCGTGGATCAGAATTTGGGAATTCCATCCCTGCCCACGACCCACAAGGAGCAGTGTGGCTTTTTTCCTGGAAAAAAAAAGCTCTGTCCCATTCCTGAGTCATCACCAACTGCTGAATTCAACACCCGGAGCCCTCAGCTCGCCAAAGAATTCCCCCCAAAAAAAGGGGAAGGAGATCTCCAGGTGCTCTCCCTGTGCAAGGAGCTCCTCCAGCTGTGGGATGCAGCCACGGAATTCCAGATGTGGTGCCCAGGTTTGTCCTGGCCGCAACGCTGAGCTCCCGGGATGGAGCACGAGAGCAGCTGGAGAGAGGATCTTAATCCCAAAAAGGGATCCCAGGAAACTGCAGGAGTGGCTTGTCCTTGTAGCTGGAATTCCCAGGGACTGCACTGGGGCATTGGCAGCACAAAGTTGATTTTAATTTGTCAAATTTGGGCTCCACTTGGCTCCCTGTGGCCACCGAAGGCTCCTGAGGAAGAGGGAGCAGAGCCCTGGAATTCTTCCCTGTGGCTCGCAGGACTCCCAGGAAAATGATTTTTCCTTGGAGGAACCTTCTCTCAAACCTTCCAAATGTGGTTTCAAGCCTTACAAGGTCCCCACACTTGCACCAAAAGATAAAATTCTGTTTTCCAGCTGGGTCAGCAGGTGGAGCAGGTGCAGGAATTTCAAGCAGGGAACGAGCAGGAACTTGTTGGAGCTTGTTGGATTTGGGGTTTTGTGTGGTGGTAAAGTTTTTTTTGTTTTTTTTAACTCGTGTTTTTAAAGAAAACTTAGTAGCCTCTTGTTGTTTAGTCTTAAGGTAGTTTATTGTAAGCTATCTAAAAATAAAATATTGTCATTTTTGGCTGCTGTGGTTTGCTCAGCAGCTCAGGCAGAGGCACAAACACAATTTTTACAACCTCTCCGTTTGTTGTCTTATTTTTCTCTTTCCCTGCCCCTGGTTGTTGCTATTTTTTATATGATATATTATGTGATATATGTTCATAGGTTTTTAAAAAATATTTATTACTTATATTAAATGGCGTTTTTCTATTTTAAACTTAATCTGTAAGTGCTAACATTATTAAGAATATGGAGGTTAAGGAAGAAGAAAGAGGAGGAATATGACTGGCCTACATTCTTCTATTTTAAAACTTTTGACTTCTATGTATAAAGTAAAAAAAACCCTGTACACGTGTTAAAACTCCTTTGTATAATATTATTTTTTTTCTTTTTACTTTGTAACTATTTTTACTGTAATATCTAAATTTTTGTGATTTCTTGTTCTACTTGTAAAGTTGGTAAATTATTCTGTGGTTAAACTCAAAATTATAGCTGAAGTTTTTGGTGGATATTCCACGTTTCTCCCACCTTGGCTGCTGCTGGAATTATCTGCCCCAGATCTTTGGCCAGCTCTGCTTTAAAGGGATTGAAAAAATTCTATTTTTAAGTGCGAAAAGGAAAGGAATAATTCCCCCTTTCCCATTTCTTTGAGAGGTTTTGTTGGAATCTCGGGTTGGTGGTTTTGGAGGGAATTCAGCCACGCCAGTGTCCCCCTGCAGCTCCAAGGCAGGGCCTGGAATGCTGGAGCACAAAACCACCGGAATTTTTTCTTTTTTTGCCCTTTGGAGAAGTGGAAAAGCTGATCCCCCACCACAAATCCACGCTGTGACCCTCATCCCTCCACCACACTGGGAATTCCAGAGATCCAAGGAGGAATTCCAGCTAAAATCAGTTTTCCAGGGAAGAACCTGAAGGATTTGATGTCCACATTCCCCTGGATTTGTTCCACAAAGCGTAGCTGGAATATCTGGAATTCCCATTTTTAAACAGAGAATCAGCTGTGCTCCTTCTAACAGCTCCAGCTTTCTCTAAGTTCTATTTTAAATTGATTTGTTTTTTATAAATGGACCTGTTTATCTCCAAAAACTAGATTTTTAACCAGAAACGAGCCCATGGAAATCCCCCTGCAGCATCAGAGGCAATACCACCTCCTAACCTGCAAAAAAATCTTATTTTTCTCGAGGTCTTGGCTGAGGAAGGAGTTTCAAATTAAGTAAAAAAACCCCAAAATTGAAGAGACCTCCAAAAAGTGGCCTCTACGCCCAACTCACCGTAGAGAGCTGTCCAGGTTTGATTGATTACATCTAGACATACAGTTCCTGACCTGGAACACATGGAAAAAAATGGAATTAACACTGCAAAACACTCTGGGAATTGTAAAAACTCCTCCCCAACCCCTTTCCCAGGGTTTGGGATCAAGCCTGATTTATTCCTATTTATGGTCTTTAACCACCTCCATCTTCCCACTCTGCCCAAGAGAAAATAAATTGGAATTTTATTGCCATGGAAGCCCCACACAGGCAAAAAAAAAATGATGGGCAAGTATCTGAAATTTTGGAGGATTTACTCAAAATGTGAAGGATTTACTCACGCTTCGTCAATGTTGGGATGGAAGATTTTATTCATGAATCCTGCAAGGAGAAACAGAGGGAAATTAGCAGAGAAAAAACCCAAATAAATGTATTTTTTTTTAACGTGAGAAGTCTGGAATTTCTGGAACAAGGACCCAAAGCCATAAATAGTTTTAAAATAAGCAGGCAGCATTCCCACCCTGGGGTCCATTCCCTCAAAATCCAGGGAAATTGGAGTCAGGAAATTCAGGAAAATTCTGCAGTGCCACCACAAACCTTTTGTTGGATCCTGAAAATTCCTGTCCAGCAGCTCAGTGGAGCACTGAACACAAATTTAAACTCAACATTTGATTTTTTAAAAATATTTTTTACCTAACAGAGATTTTTTTGTGAGCTTGACATCACGACATTAATCTACACTTGCGAGCCAGGCAGGCAATAATTCAAATTTTGCATCGATTAATTATAGCAATTAATTCTCCTCTTGGTGCCTTTAGTGTGGTAAAAAACAGCTCAGGTGAGGTTTAGGAGGAGGGAGCTTGATGTGGCTTTGTCCAATTTCAGATTTCAGGATTTGAGAAGGGTTTTTTTTTGTTGTTCTGAGTTTCAAATTAAATTTTGAAATGAATAAAATAGATTTCGAAATAAATAAATAAATAAATAAATAAATGAATAAATTTTGAGTATTTCTTAAAAATAAAAAAATTTATTCAGAATAGATTTTCAATTGGTTTCAAGCCTTTTTTACTGAGAATTTGCCAT